TTCACTCCCTCTTTGCATGTCAGGCGAAACGTCGGCCTCCCCGCCAACGACGCGGCGTCTCCCTGGTAGCCAAGGATTTATGGATTCGAGCCGCGGAAGCTTACGTGTGCACCTCTTCACTTGCACATTGTCCGGGTTAAATCCCATGGTACTCCCGCACCACATACTATCACGTTGTTTGAAACTTTTGCAATTTACAAGAATTCAGAGTTCAACGAAAATGAAACCCGACCCATTTTTATACGTGTATTTTTCTCTGTCGGATGGGAAAATATTAACACACAAACCTCGGAATCAATTTTTGAGAAATTTATGAAAATATCCTTGGGAGGCTTCATGTATATCTCTAAATCCTTATCGCTAAAATCAAAAGTCCTTTTCAATTTCGGGTGGCTCGAGACCAAATCGATCGTGGAATAATTTTTAGAAGATCGTCTGAGACGGACGGACGGATACACATGTTAGAGGAAGTAATTTACAACATATAGGAACAAGGTAATGTTTATGAACTCTTAAAATATCAGACACCGTCAACACAAGTTTTCTATCGAAAAATCTCAGTTTTTTGTAGCGGTATTACAAATCTCTCTCTGTACTACGTAAGTAGTGTGCGAGAAAGTATAAATTGAAATTATTTGGTATTTTCAGTTGATTGTTCATATTTTCAAACACATTTCTAAATATCCTGCTGCAAAGTTGACACATCGGAAGAACTGACGAATCCAAATTGCTATTCCAAAGGTTTGCCCAAAAAATCGCCTCTGATGCATAGACAGTAGCAAACCCCTTCCATTCGTGTACGTAGACACACACACCTGATAGAGCCTGGTACAGGAGACTCTTAGGTTGTGAAGTGAGTGGAATCGCCTCCTTGGCGAGGTGGGTCACGCGCGTCATTTGCCGCGAGCGAATTGTCCTCTTCGGCGAAGCGCCTGGCGTCACGGGCCGCCACCTGGTCTCTTGGCCGCGGGCGGCGCCGCTGCGTGGTGCATCAGGCGCCATCGATGCCCTTCCCTCTTCCTAGTACGTCGCTCTTCAGCAGTTGCAGAGTTCCATTAACTTGATTTTCTTGGAAGTGTATGTCGCAAGCGGTGATTGATTTTTCAGGACTGTCAGCAGAAGAAATTTATGACGAGTAACCTCAGCGTGTAATTTCTGTTCATTATCAACTGTAGATAGATTTTGTGAGGCGTGAATTCATCGGAGGAGACGTCATTGCCTTGGGGGTTTACTGGGAAAAGGAAGATGTGACGTCAGGTGGTGGAACCAGATAGTTTTTGTAGTTTCATCGGCTTCGTTTTACATCTAATTTCGTTGCAGCCTCGTCAAAAGAACATGTGAAACAGTGGCAAATGGAAATATTTATTAGTTGACTTTCTTTTATTCTGATTTAAATTCCATAATTCAAAGTAATTGATAATAAATTCAACATCCACTTTATCATGATGCAGTGTTTTTTTCAGTCTGATAATTGCCTTTTTTTAATATAAACACGATATTCATATATTAACACTGAAATGTTGGTAACCTGAATCTTGTGAATCAATTATTCCGTGACGCAATAAATTTCATGTATTAAAAGTTATCTTTAACGAAGGAACAGAAAATGAATAAAAGCATTCTTCCATTCATCTTCTGTTATTGTTGATGCCCAGTAACAAATGCACTTCACGGAAAATACGCTATGTTCGATTGGCGTATCAAAAACATTTTATGGTGTCTGATTTCACGTCTTACAAAAACAAGTTTGCAGATTGGGAATTCCGATTCAGTAAATTGCATTTCAACCAAATGAAAACGAACAGTACTAAGCTCAGATTTTACGTTCTGTTCTGGATATGAGTTGAGGTAGTGTGATTGAGCTCGTCGTGTGCTTTCGTGTGCAGAGTTCAAGCTGAAGAAGATGTGGCTGTCGCCGAACGGCACCATCAGGAACATCCTGGGCGGCACGGTCTTCCGGGAGCCCATCCTCTGCCAGACCATCCCGCGCCTGGTGCCCGGCTGGACCAGGCCCATCGTCATCGGCCGCCACGCGCACGGCGACCAGTACAAGGCCAAGGACATCGTCATCCCAGGCGCCGGCACGGTGGGTTGCGCCCGGCGCCCTCGCCGCCACTCGGCAGGAGCGATTATGCCCTTTCGGACCAGTGGATGAATGTGACGCAACAACTCTCTATTTTCTTCAGAAAACAGTTTTATTACGTTTTATTCTCTAAAACAAAATTTAATGGTCTTCTTCCATAACTAGGTTATTAGAGAAGAAGCCTTGCCGTCCTTTGCATCTTCATCTTTATTCCCAATGATTTGTTTTATATAGCTATATTTTACTGAATAAAACGTTCGTTATGGCAGTCTGAACAAAACAAATGATTATTGTTAATCAGTCTCGGTTACCATAGTCTATAAATCAGCCTTCGAATACTTTCTGCCCTTTATCTCTGGATGTAAGGTCGACGCCAAACGTAAATATCATTATTCATTTTCTCTTTTACTGAAAATATTGCTCAAAACAATTTCATCCTCTAAATTCACCACTAAATGAGTAAATGTCTGTTAAATATAAAATCTTCACCATCTTCCTAAAGAACCAAAAAAGTGCCCGAGACATTCATCTACAAATACTTCGCGCAAAACATGGACTGTCCAAAATTACTTGGAAGTCTTGCACTTCCCAATCTTTTAAATGACCCGCGAGTTTGGGCAGCTTTTCTCTCAATTTTGCGGAACAAATCGTAGCCTCAGGCATCGATAGGTTCGACCTACATTTTTACACCTAACATACGTATAATATCGAATTTTTATACTCTTGTTTCTGAGAAGTTCGTCCTGATCAGTACCGTCGTTAACATGTTTTCGAAACGTTTGAAAGCTTTATAAGACTGTCGGCACAGGTAACTATAAAGTTATCCTACCTTTTCACGTATTCTGAAAAGATATTACAAATTATTTATACCTGTTCCTGATAAAGGAGTCATTTATCATCCTGAGAAATTTTGATAAGTTTTATCATAATGTTCTCAGTGTCTGACGGTTGTCAGCTCTTTCTGTATTACCGATTCTAGCTTACAGTTTTTCTCTTTTAGCTACAATTTAATAGATTTTGGTTGAGGTGGCCGATTTCTTTTAGATATTGTGTATTGTTATTGATATTTAACTATCTCAACAGAACCGTAAGAAATCCAAAGTAATCGGTACGAATCTTTCTTGAACGTTAAACCAAATCGGTAGTGCTAAATAGCGTAATTAAAGGCTACAATAGAACATAATTGTTGTTTACGTTATAAAGTCGCAGATGATTTTTCATCTCCCTGGGCTATGTTCTATAATAGTAGTCTCACGATGTCGCGTTTCCGTGAGTCTCCTCAAGGTTGTTGGGAAAAGATTGTAATCGCCTTGCAACCATCAAGTAATTTCTCCGACGTGTTTCATACATAATAACAGGAAAGATCACGAAGAGACACGTCCTCAGCATTACAAAATTAAGTCTCTCCCTCAGGAATATTGACGAAGGCGTTTCTGAAGCATGTATATCCGAGCACAAAGTGGGGATGTTAATGGAGTATATTTGGCGTTAGTGACACTCGAGTTGCAAGGTCGAATTTCTCCATTCCCCAAATAGTTGAACATCGTCCCTTTGTAATTTTGACACTATAATTCCAACCTTGTTCGCAAGATTTTGAGTTTTATAATTTTGACACTGTTACGCCTCATCTCGTATACTCATTGCAATAAAAATACATTGGCCCCCTAGAAAACTATTTAAACAGTATTAAAACATGAACACAATTAAAAGGTAGTTTGTGTAATAAAAACTACCTCCCCCTCTTCAATCAAATGTCTATATCCACGCCTGAATCAGGGTATCTTACCAAAACAGATTATTAGTTGTATTTCGCTATATTTGATGTATGGGTTAAGTTCCATCCTACATAGTAAAGGCACTTCGAAACGTACATTTTTATCAGCGATGGGTTAAATGAGCTTTAATGAATTCTGATTTGAAGTTTGCGTTCATATATGTTCATTACTTGCAGTAGACACCATGACTCGGGAAATTACTCGCGGATGGACTTTTCGTATGCAGTGCTTCAACAAGGCTACATCTGGCGACACTCGGCATTGATTTGAGGGCTGGTTGTGATTGGCTGACGCAAATAAAAGCCTTGACATCTTCCGCGAACACAAGTAGCCAACTGGATTTCCCAGCCTCTGCAAGAGGAAAGGACGGGCTCGTGGCAGCTGGTCATCACTATTAGGCTAGTGCAGTTCGGAGCTATTTAATTGTTAGTGCTAGAGAATTGCGAAATAAACGAATACCGAAGGTTGATCCATCTACACAGCACTGAATCATTCAATAAATTTATAAGTATTAAAAATGCAAATATAAATTTTTTTGTATGTACTGCTTGCAAAACTATCGAAAATTTAAATATATCAGTTTGGTTAATGGTTCATTGAACAGTAAACAGCGGCACCTGGTTGGTGCTCCTGACAGTAATATTTTCATTACAAATTAGTAAAAAATGTACTAAATTGATGTGTGTGCTCGCAAAATTGTAATATTCGGACTTCAGCCGCCAAGACTTTTTAAATAGTTTTCCAATATTTCTCGAGTTCATTTGAACATTCATCAGATTCATCACGAGGTCAAACTTGTTGCTTGGGAGGGATAAAAATAATTCACTTGAAAATGGTTAAGCTTTTGAACATCGTATTTACTTTGAAACTCATAACCGTAATTTTATGTCTGTTGTCCTCGCTACACATGCATGAAAATTGGGTAACATGATTAGTTGACTGCATTTAAGTTTAATTTAATCCGTTCTTAAAATCTGTAATTGCCATACTTTTACATACGTTGTGAATCAAGAAATTCGTAGTTATAGTACCTTCTGCCTTTCTTTCTCTTCTTGAAGTATCAACTAACTGTTTAAAAAAATCACTTTTTCAAACTCTGAATATAAATTTCCGAATCCAATTTCTTGTTTCCATTCATCAGTCTTATCGCTCCAAAAAAAAATGTAAAGTGAGATTCCATGAAAACGTTTTGTTTTCCGGTGTATCTGTAAAGTCTCAAATATGTTTGCACAGGAAACTAGGTACACTAAACATACTTCGTTCTATACATCGAGCAAAGGTTTTGGAATTGTAGCTTTCTTGCATATCGTTAACGAGATTCGTGTTTTCTCCTTACCGTAAAAGTTTTAATCATTTCATCTAGCCTGAACAGAAACGGTGCAATAGCACAGAGGTTAAAGGTTTACACAAAAGTGAAAGGTCCATTGTTCGCCTGTGTACTGAACGGAAACAATTGTCTGAATTGTAGGTAAAAACCGGTTTTACGGTGTCAATGAATTAGAACGACTTATTGAACTACTGGTGTGTAATGAAAACGGTGACCAAACCGATGTTTCGATCAGAAAGCTGGAGGGGAAAATCGATCGGATGTTCAATACTGCTCCTTTGAAAAACCGCCGCGTGTCTACACGGTCTCCTCATCCGAGAGCCCTGAGCGACTCCCCTCGCAGCAGACTGGGCCCCGCAGGCGCCGCGCGTGCTCAGAGCGGGAAGGTGGGGAGCGCGTTTACAGCGCCTTGCCGCCCGCCGCGTCCCATGAAATTGCGCTCAGAAAAAACCACTTGCGGAACTCCTGTATCCGCCGTCCTCTCCAAGGCCCCCGCCCCCGCCCCCGCCCCGCGCCCGTGCATTAACTCTGTTAGACTGGCGGAAATCGAAAATTATGACGTCAGGCCGTGAGGAGGTAAAACGCCGCCGTCACGAGCGCCGGCGCGTGGGGCGACGGGAACACACCTCCAGCCTGCCTCTGCCAACCTGCCAACACGCCTCTGCGACGCACTTGAGCTCACCTCAGCCGCAGGATCCTTTTCGCCCCTGAAAAACGAACAGTACATTTTCTTACAATTCGCAAAGTTAACCCGAAAAGGAAAGTGGTACAAAATGTAGATTAAAATTTAAAGTACTTAAAAGTATATTATAGTATTATATAATTCGTATGTATGTAAATGATAGGAAGAAAACGCTATTCAAAACGCTACAAAAGGAAATAGTATAAAGTCTGATGGATTCTACATCTATAGTCCCCTCTGCTGTAGAAAAAATTCCCTCGTCGCACAATGCATTTGTTACATTTATTATATGCTAATTGCCCTGTCGATCACAAGCTCGGGTGGTTGATTCAGTTTACACAAGTTTCCAAGTCTATTAAGTTCTATTAAAAACGTAATTAATACTGATAATGGAATGATATACGTGTGAAGTCGGAGGATACTGGTAAGACATTCGTCGTTAATGTACAAAAATTTAAATATTACACAACGTAACTTGCTGTGTAATCAGAGTTGGCTGACCACTACCGATTGCTTCCAACCTTCCAAATAATGAATGAATATTGAATGTCTTAATACAATGGTTTCTAGGTTTTCTGACAATTTAGCTAAATATTAAAGGTAAAAATGAAGAAACTTAATGCGGGGGTAGAACTGAATTATTTTTCTACTTGCCTTCATCATGGGAAGGTTTAAGCGGTATAAATCATTCTAAATATAGGGATGCTAAATCGGTTCATTAACTCGTGGAAAACCCAGTACTGTAGAAACGCAATGATATAATGAGAACTTATCTATACAAGAGATTATTAGACTCGATTTCCTTCCTGAAGATGGGTGGAAGGAAGTGTGAGCAAGTTGAGTTCCAACGAGATGATTAAGATGTTAAAAGCGTGGTATTTTGAGATTAGAATCCTTGTTATTTCTTTATTGGAATTCCGTAATATATCAGCAGTAGCAAAGTGCGGATTCTCGTCGCGAAGAAACCACAAACGGAAGCTTCTACCGGCCGGGAAGTTTCCAACGGCGCGGTGTCTCCAGGTTTGCCACTGGCCACGTCAGTTCGTTTGGTTCGTCAGTCTTATAAAGTAACGTATTTTAGAACTTGTCAGATTTAGATCACTTACTAGCAATTTAGCCACATATTTCAGAACATTATGACGATCCTACATCATTTTTTAGCGGATTATTTCGTGAAGTACCTAATATTATTTAAATTAATATGTTGTTGGTGACTTTGACACCATATTGTAAATGAAGTAAAAAGTTAACGTCACGCGTCGTGATGGAAAGCAAAATTATTAATTTCGTTTTCTATTGTCATTGCGAGATCTGATGACCAGCGCTAAGCAATAGGAAATATCTTAATGACTCTTAAACTAATATTTTTTAATTACTCATTTTAAATCTTTAAATAATTTTATGTTGCAATTATGCTTTTGAAAAATTTAACATTAGTCCATCTACAATCTTTATGATACTTTCAGGTAATTTTTTATTTGTATTTGATCTGTTTTGCATTGCTTGTGAAGATCTTTTGTTAGCACAAAAAATGCACTCTTATGCATTGTCAATAATTTTTGATTTAACGAATGAATGAAACGTTGTAACTCTTGGACTTTCGTGCAGTGACATTCAGTAAGGGGTGCAGCTTCTCCCTGGCGTCGCAAGAACAATGTGGATAGGATACAAGAATTAAATAGTTTGGAATTAAAAAAAAAGCCGGAATCCAGAATCGGCGGTTTCAGCTTTTTAAGATTCTTTCCAATCTCGGAGCGGCCTGTCACAAACACACATCTGATTACAATTGAAACAAATCCATCGCAAAGTCGTGTTCAAAAGTATTATTTCTCTATTACTTGCATAACATAAACCTCCCTCCCCAAAACTAAATCATTGTGGAATTTATCTTGGCAAATTTAGGAAATTGTTTTGATGCATTTGAATTTAAATGAAGTTAAATTGCACTTGGCAGCTTTCAATTGAACATGTCCCCCCAAACAACAATAAAATTTTGGAAGAAATTATTTTAAAGATACTACTAGGGCTTCGCTTTATATCGGTACCCTATCCAATTATTCCATATTGACGATTCATTTAATTACTCAATTGTCAAACGTAAGTTGCTGCAGGTACGAAAAAGTTTCTTGCAATTAAGTTTTTGAAGAACACCGTATTTTAAATTCGCATTTACTACATTAAAATGTAATTTGCTGAAGCTGAGTTAGCGCGTGTCAGGCAACGTGAAGTTGAAAGGCTCAGGAAGAGGGAATGCCATTTCCGTCCTGTTTGTGGTTGGTGGAGCTGAAAAAACAGGGATTTTTCCTGGTGTGTAATGTGTGCGTGTGCGGTATTTGTTTTGCAACTCAAAAGGCAAAATGTCATTCAAGCAGGTGTTACGATAAGCGCTATAAACGTGAAATAAAATTAAATTGATTATACATACGATTAATTCGTAATGACAAGCCGCCCTTCAGAAAAAATGTCCAAACTTCAATTTCCTGAATAGTTTTATTAGTCCTGCATGGTGTACTGCTGCATTTCGTAATGACAATTTTTAAGCAATAATTTTTAATGACGCGGGTAAGGTGCGTATCGACTCGGTTAGCAAACTACAGAACGTAATTATTTACCATTTTTTAAATGGAATTGTAATGTTCTAGCGGTAGATTTGCGAATTTGTGTTGAAACTGAAGCCGTTCACAAACGAAAAGGAATAATCCAGAACGATGGTTAATAAAATAAAATTCATGGTCAATAAAAAACGTTGTTTTTCAAAAATATTTTGTAGTTTTGCGAAATGAATTTCGCTTTCAATCTTCCGAGGTCATTTTTTTCGCCATTCTGAAAACCTGAAAATCATCGCTAATGTTTCTATAGTTATTCCTCCTTGAACGACCTCTGCATAGATGTTGCATTGTTTATAGAGAAATAAAACACGTTTCATAATATTTGAACATTTTTTACGTTATCTATAAACATAGTTTAGGAGACCTACAGAAGTAGTTGGGAATTAGCCTTGCGCGAATGTATTCTATTGCAACGGCGCATTGCACTAGCATGTGTTGACTTCTGATCCGTCACATGGAATGACCATCGTTCGGCTTAGGGCCGCTCTACAGCGCACTCACTCATCATCTGAGCGCCATGATCTCGCAGAGCGAAGGGTGCCAAGGGAAGAATCGGTCCTTTTCTTTCAGTGTTCTAGGGAAGTGGAGAAGTTTATTATGTACGTCTGAAGAAACAACCTCCCCATCTGTTAGGACTTAGCGACAGTTTGTCAGACCCCATGCTGTTTAGGTGACCTTTAGTAGTACCTCGCTGGAGACTTATTGCATGGATGCGAGAGTCCTGTTTGAAGTTGTGTGTTTGAAGTTTGAGGTTGTTCGTGTGTGTTGGCTTACGGGGGCATGGTGTGCGCAGGTGGAGCTGGTGTACACGCCCAAGAACGGCGGCAAGGAGCAGCGCACGGAGGTGTTCGCCTTCCCCGACCGCGGCGTCGTCATGGGCATGTACAACACCGACCAGTCCATCCGCGACTTCGCCCACTCCAGCTTCCAGGTAAGTCGCCTCAGCCACGGACCATGCATCTCGCCCTAGTTACATTTCTTCGAAAGCAAATGGGGCCCACGACCAAGTTTGTAAGTATTTACTCGTAGATGTAAATGACATGAGGTAATTTAAGGTCTGTCAAGTAAAACAATAGGGGCCATTTGATGACCCAGTAGCTTTGATGAAATGACAGATAACTGTCTACAGCACTTTCGAGACATTAAATATTTCTCTTACTTACATTTTATTTAAAAAAATAAGTTTTGCTACAATGCCTCACTCCAGCATATTTAATTAAGAGATCAGTAATGTCTTAAAAATATAAAAGTTAACCTGTGTGCCATGCCTTGTACATGTACAGTATTGCCTAAAATAAGGCTGTGGGCTTCATCAGGGCAATTTCGTGGATCTAGCGGTTACCATTGCACATTTTATTACCCTGACATTAACGTCCTTAAAAAGCTGGAGTTTTTAGGCAGACCAATGTTATTTTTTGAGTTATCTTCTCAAAGCATCAAATTTGAGCAACTCCATATTAATCTTTTGCCAAGTGCCAGAGTGTAAATTAAGACTTTTTTTATCCCCCGCCCAGTTCGCCCTGCAGAAGAAGTGGCCGCTGTACCTGTCCACGAAGAACACCATCCTGAAGCAGTACGACGGGCGCTTCAAGGACATCTTCCAGGAGATCTACGAGAAGCAGTACCGCAAGGACTTCGAGGCCGCGGGCGTGTGGTACGAGCACCGGCTCATCGACGACATGGTGGCGCAGGCGCTCAAGTCGAGCGGCGGCTTCGTGTGGGCGTGCAAGAACTACGACGGCGACGTGCAGTCGGACGTGGTGGCGCAGGGCTACGGCTCGCTGGGCCTCATGACCTCCGTGCTCGTCTGCCCCGACGGCAAGACCATCGAGGCCGAGGCCGCCCACGGCACCGTCACCCGCCACTACAGGTGCGGCTCGCGACGCGTGAGCAACGCGTTCACACTTCTTATTGCCACACACGACGTGCGGAATTTCAGACTTATGTTCCGTGATTGATAGGAAACTCAATGTACACACCGAAAAAAACCTACCGTTGGAACCATATCCATGATACTATAACAAGGAAACTTGTTACAGTATCATGGTATACTCCAACGTTTTTTTTTCTCTCGATGCAGTGTTGTTTCAAAAGTACGCATGTTCCTTGGCTGAAACAGAACGTTCACCTGTGAAACATAACTGCAAGATGTGTTGCGAATTAGAGGCAAATGCAAAATCTGAAGCTTCTTTACATTCTTCCTCAAAATATATTGGCAAACTGTAATCATCTTCGGCCTCCCTCCATGCCCTAAAAGTTGGAAACCATTTATTTTGTTCTGAACCACTTTATATAAGAAGCAAAGGGCTAAGTAGTACTTCAAATTTATCTGGTCGTCTTCATTGGCCACCTGTTATTTACTTTTTACCTAACCTTTTTCTCATATTGGCGGTTTATAACTATGAGAACACTATCTCTAGCTAAGCCACTATTCTGATCTGCATTGCTTAAATCGCTGCCACAGAAACTTTCTAAATTGAAATCGGAGATTATTTCATGATGAACATTCAGCAAGAGATCCTTCAGATCATGATTTTTCATAAAATGTCGTCTGAAGCCTCAAATCACGTCTGTTCATTATTCAACGTTGAATCTATACTTTTCAATGTTCAATTAGATTTCTGACCACTGGCAATACTCCAAACAAAACAAGAAATATAAAGGAAAACATTGTCGCAATTTTAGATAATATTTTAGAACGATATTTAAACTTCATTTAATTGTATCCTTAAAATTGTTTTCTTAAACATTCACATGTCCCTTAAATTGTTGTCGCCAAAACAATGGGATAATTTCCATTTGGGGGTATTCCTGTATTATTTTGCCGCTCTTAGTCACGTTAAAGACGAACAAACGGACATTTTGAAATAATTTTGTAATGAAATCTTCATTGGTAACAAAGATCCCCAAAACGTTTATTAGTCAAAACTCTGAGAGAGTTTGGTATTTTACATTATAATTGGATCGTGGGAAACATATCTACACATCCTCTAGAAAACGTATACAATTTGTGTTCATAACTCAGATCTTTCAACTGTAATGGCAATTCTTATTTACCTCTGTAGAAAAAGTCATAAAAAATACTCTTAATTTTTTAATCAATTTCTCTTATACACCAGAAAAGGATCGTTCTGTTTAATACTCCGGTCTCTAGATGTGCTCTTGACGGTATACTTTGCAAATTCCGGGCAGCTTTCTATGAATAGATCTAGGGGGAGTCTGCCCTGCAGAGCAAGAAATTCACGTGAGAAAATCTCATCCTACTGAAGTTTTCGAACGTAACGAAGTGGAGACGTCGTGCGAGAATTCCCATGCGATCATCAGGCAGTACACTTCTCATAGTTCGCACAAACCTGAAAGTGCCGCCGAAGAGTAACGGAGGCTGAGCGAGCGCAAAAAGTACTGGGAAGCCTCGCTAACTACCTCGTGTGTAATGACCTTTAATGACGGTTCCGTTAATGCTGTTGCTGCAGGATGCACCAGAAGGGCCAGCCGACCTCCACCAACCCCATCGCGTCCATCTTCGCGTGGACGCGCGGCCTGGCGCACAGGGCCACCTTGGACGACACGCCGGAGCTCGCCAGGTAAGGGCACTCCCACGCGCGTCGGGAGACGACAGCCCCTCCATCTGGGGCGGTGGACGAAATACAAAGGCGACGTGCGGGTCGGAGCGGGATCTCACGATCGAGCCGGGCATGAACATCGGGATATGACCTTAATAGCTGACGTTCCCAAAATCAATATTCCCACTCCCCACTTAAGAAGATTGTTAATAAAGGATCACGTAAAGTCAGGGGTTCTTATTTTTAATCTCGCTCCATTATCGTAGATTTGCGTGTCAATTGTCACTAGCGTTAATTGCTGAAGACGGTTAATAGTGGATAAATTGTGTAACTTTGATCTATTTTTTTCTTTCGTAATCCTGAGAGATTTAGGGTCTCTGCCATCTTAAGTCAATGAGGTTGCTTCCCCCCAAATGCTTTTAAAACGTAAGAGCGCCACCCGATAAACTCCGACAAAGCCTGCGGATTTTTCAAATGGAATAAAGCGCTTCGAATAGAGATTGAACTACTGCATAGTATCAGTTTCTATCAATAAACGCAGTCTAATGTTTCAGGTAAATATTCATCGAGGCCATTTTAATTAGCATAGAAAGAAATAGATGAAAATTCGAAAATAAATTATTCATACAATTTTGAACTCAGAGAAAAATTATTTCAATAATAATGAAAAAGTTTTAAGAGGCTCGTGCACGTTTGGGTTTCGACATTCTCTTCACCGACGAATATGAAATCGAATATAGGAAATTCATTTTCGAAGGCATTTGGCCAGGATTCTTCTCAATGCAGCAAGTAAGACTTTCACAGCAACGATTAACAAAGGGAAAATGCCGGGGATCGTCCCCTCCCAGAGACATCCCATGCTGCCAAAGTGTGGGTCGAGTAATACAATTAATCCTCAGCAAATGCCTTCTTGAAGATTTCCACACTTTGAATTGTTCAAATCAAAAAACTGGAAGAAAAAAATCCTGGGAGTATTCTTAAGATTCATTCAGACGGTAACGCAAGGGAATATGGTGTGCACTCATTAATTCTGTGCCGATTCGGCCCGGTTATTATATATTTGGAATTGCGTTGAAGGGTGCGGAGAAACATTGTCATGAATCCACGGCTCGAGCGCTATAGCAATGAATACAAGGAAACGCGCCTCAGCCGGGATCGAACTCACGCTCTAATTATTGAGAGGCAAATAAGTGAACCATTAATCCACTTAAGAGCGATGCGCAAGCTCTTTCTCGAACACTTTCCGCATCCGAGCAAAGTGGTGACCACCTCCTCGGATAAAAAACGGCGAGTGTCAACGGGAGTCTGGGGTTCTGATTTTCCTTGTGCTTCTTGTGCGTATGTGAGCGAAAAAATGTTCAGGTCAGTTGCGATAAACATGTACGAGGATTGTAGCGGCGCGTCTTGTCTTGGACAGAGGCAAGCAACTGTTAAGCCAGGGAAGAGGGTGATGGGACACGTAACATTCAACTCCCGACAGGAGACTTGAGTGTCAACGGAAGCCCTCCGCGTGGAGTTGCACATGAACTACGTTAGTAGTTCAAAGGCGCGCCAGGTACAGACGCACACATGGGGTGGATATTGCAAACGACATTTATTCCAAACATGCATTGCCCTCCGAACATTATATTAGATTACGCACTACTCCTATTGAATTTTACATTTCAGTTAATTTTTTTTCGTCAGTTATTCTCCACAAAATGTTACTGGTGTTTGTAATGTAGGAGTTTTTCGGTAATTTTAATTAATTTTAAGAGTACTGTAGCAGTATGGAAACTGGACCTTACACAACTGCCCCGCGGCACCGTTTTTATGATTTAATCATTCATTTGAAATATTTTCGTATGTTGTTTAGACTTCAAATTATTATGTCAGTAGTACGAAATAAATTTGTCACAAAATATTATTTAGGAATATCTATTTTAAAAATTAGCTGACCTAGAACTAAGAACATGTACAGACTTATCTCGTCGGTCTGAACGGTCGGGGGATCGAGTCCCTCCTCGAGAATGGTTGTTTGACCTTTGTCTCTCATGTATGTGTTGTCGCGGAGAACCTCGCGTTGTGCTGACCCCAGATTAGAGGAGCCCACATGTGTATTGGTGTCTAGTGTATGCGTTCCATCGGGTCGTAAAGGATGACCGCTGGAGTAAGCAATAGGAAAAAATTAAATGAAAATTTGCCATGTGATTGTGAGAGCAAGAATTCCGTTGCCACTGAAAGTGCAGCTGACACCGCAGTCCCGCGCTTTACTCCTTCGCCGTGTGTGTTGCAGGTTCGCCAACGACCTGGAAGAGGCGTGCGTGGAGTGTGTGGACTCAGGCAAGATGACGAAGGACTTGGCGGGCTGCATCCACGGGCTGCCCAACGTGAAGGAGGGCATGTTCCTGCACACGGAAGACTTCCTCGA